AAAAATGGGAACAGGAAATTTACACAAAATTTTCTTAAAAAAATTTTGAGAAAAGACAAAAAATTTGGAGGTCGCGCGCTTTTTGGGGGGGGGGCCCCCGTTTTTGGGGGGGGGGGGGTGAAAAGGCCCCCCCCCCCCCCTCCCAGTCTGAATAGGGTTAAGGATGAAAAGGGTATATTCTTGGTATGGTTACATTGAAGCATTCAAAATAGCTGATGCACGTTAAGCGTGCCTATGCTTATTATTGTTGTTGTTGTTTATTCATTTGTACTTTTTTTTGCGGGAGACAAGGGTAATGCACAACATAGTCAACGTCTCTGTAAATTGCTGTACAGTGTAAATATTTCAAACGTGATTTTTTCATTTCGATGAAAATAAAAAAATAAATAAAAAAAGCATTGTTCAGCAACCATAACAGAAGCTTCATCTTGTTGCTGCATAATTATTTTCCAGCATCAAAGCAAAAAATGAAATGCGCTATTTTCCCGAGTTTTGCTTAAAACCCTACTTTGCTGTGCACAGTATTTAGAAATAAACTGCTCTGGTTCAGCTGTCTGGTTGGACGGATCTGGTTAGTAGTAGAGTTCTGGTTAATAATGGGTTGATCTGGCCGACCAGTCCTGACTAATGGAAACCGTCTCTTGATAGCAAGCCAGATTTAATAGACCAAATTCCATCAAATAAAAAGTCGTGTAAGAAATGTATCATTCATCCCTGAATCTTAAACCGTTTTTAATGCTAGCTTACGCATTTTCTATCCCCTTGATATCAACCTTAACCTGCAGGTGTAGGTGCTCAAAAAGAGGGATTGGGGAGGAAACTAGCACACACGAACTGTCTCAGTGCGCCTGATATCTCCCGTTTCTCTCTCCTTCCCGTCCAGATATTTAAGCGCATATCAAGCAGGATATACACTACAAACCCTAAACGTTGTTCTTAAATTAACGGAGAAGGAGTTGAAGTTCAAGAGGACCAAAATCAAAGAAATATAAAAATACAGAAAATGGCGGTTTTTATACATATGTAAACGTATGACATAAGGACATAACCTTAAGACTTTCAAATGATGTTGACCATTTTCTGAGAAGAAAAAAACACCTATATCTCGGGCAAAATTATTCACATTTGCAGTCTTAATTATCTTTCTACAGTCTTTCGAAAACACGTACCTTCGACAAGTTCAGTCTGTTGCTGAGAAGCCTTGCGTTTTGTTTCTACAGAGCTCTGGGCTTTTAAAGAGTCATCTGTTGAATAAAATGGAAAACTACAGTCTAGTAGGGTGAATAAAATAAAAATACTCTTTCTTCGGAAATACTATACACAATTCCTGCACTCCTGTGAACAAAGCACCAACTCAAGGCTCGGATACACAAAACACAAAGATCTGTATAAAATAATCCACACGAGACTCGACTTTGTTGTATTATGCGTATTAGCTGGAGCGGAATGTAGGTAAGGTCTATTCACGTTTACATTCTTCATTATAATTTATAAGTCTTTCGAGAACACGCACCTTCACGAAGCTCAGTCAGTTGTTGAGAGGGCTTGCGTTCTGTTTCTAAGGAGGTCTGGGCCTTTAAAGAGTCATCTGTTAAATTTAATGGAAAAATACAGTCTAGTTGGGGTGATTATGAATGTACGGAATACAACTGCTCCAAATAAAGCATATAAAAGAATGAAATGGTTATGGCCTCCTTCTATAGACTATACTCCATTTACCTGCCTTATGTACGTAAACTAGCCTATCAATCAGGACTGTTAACAACTGCAAGCGGTGCATAAACTAATTTAATCTATATAGTTCTCTGTGTGTTAATACCCAAAAATGATTTTGGTCTATGTTTGTTTTGAATTTTTCCTATCATTGTTTTTTTGTTATAGGCCGGTACATTTTTTTTTTACCAAGAAGACGATAATTCCTATTCATACCATAAGTCCAGGTGANAGTCTTTCGAGAACACGCACCTTCACGAAGCTCAGTCAGTTGTTGAGAGGGCTTGCGTTCTGTTTCTAAGGAGGTCTGGGCCTTTAAAGAGTCATCTGTTAAATTTAATGGAAAAATACAGTCTAGTTGGGGTGATTATGAATGTACGGAATACAACTGCTCCAAATAAAGCATATAAAAGAATGAAATGGTTATGGCCTCCTTCTATAGACTATACTCCATTTACCTGCCTTATGTACGTAAACTAGCCTATCAATCAGGACTGTTAACAACTGCAAGCGGTGCATAAACTAATTTAATCTATATAGTTCTCTGTGTGTTAATACCCAAAAATGATTTTGGTCTATGTTTGTTTTGAATTTTTCCTATCATTGTTTTTTTGTTATAGGCCGGTACATTTTTTTTTTACCAAGAAGACGATAATTCCTATTCATACCATAAGTCCAGGTGATCATTTTTGCAACAAGATCTTTCATCTGCCTCGCCCAGTTGTATTTTTTCTCATAAGAATGACGTAAGGTTTCCGCTTCCTTAAGTCGGCTTTTTCTGTCCTTTGCCCAAATTTTCATGATCTTTGCGGTCCAAACATTAGGATCGTCTGAGTTTACTACAAAGGACGAACCAAATGGTACACTGCACAGTGCTTCTCCAAAACCCGAATTGCTACTGACAAGCACAGGGACACCAGCTGAAAGAGCCTCAAGACCTGTCAACCCAAAGCCCTCTGTTCTTGAAGGCATGACAACAAGATCCACTTCTTGAAACAAGCGGCTTAGACTCTCTCGATCTTCAACAAATCCTCTTACTCTCAAGCGACGTGCAGGGACACCACATTCGGTCAGCCGTTCTGATATTTCTTCGTGTTTTCCATCTCGAGCACCAACAAACAGAAGACGAGTATCTTGTAATGCAGCGACCGCTTTTCCAGCGATGTCCAATCCCTTAAGTTCGAAATCCTCTGCGTCCCCACGACCAAACACCAACACAGTGCGCTGTTGCCTTTCGCTAGGAGCCTGCTTCACAGCCGCAAACTCTTCAAATACTCCCGGAGTGAAGTCAACTACATTGTCATCGTTTTTGAAGCTGCGGAGATAGGAGCGAAAGGCCTCACTCAACTTCCAACCAACCCCAACAACATGATCCGCCATTTTACACAGCTTTACTTCGGTCGTGTGCTTTATCTCGCCTTTTGAAATTGGATCTGAATAGTTTTTGAACATTCCAAGTTCCTCTGGATCCGTGTGCACTACTTGAACCCATTTGCACCTTTCAGATCTTTTAATGTTTAGTGCCACGATACCGAGTTTAACTCCATGACCTACGATAATGTCGATTTGCAAATCGTCAGGCGGAAAGAAAAGCCAGTCCAGAGACTCAAAGCCAGGCATTGGTGTTGCCTCAACGATCTTTACGTTATGTTTCAAGGCTAACTTCTTGTCCTTTTGACTGCATATTGGTAAAAAGAAAGTGATTTCCACTTCAGGGCATTTGGCCAACTGAATGGCTAACTCCCTGTTTATGGTGGAAAGTCCCCCTTTACTTGATCCCCATTCAGAAGCCAAAATAGTTACTTGCACTTTGCGAGATCCATGCACATCCTCCATGTTTATTTGAGCTTTCTGTAAAGCAGATGCCCTTGCCAAATATCAAAGTTCCCAGACATCTTCAAAAACACCAAAAAAAACAAGAAAAATATTATTATACGACATATTTAATGAGGCTGTATCAGTGTTAGCGAGGTAAACTTTCTATGAAACCTTCTACTTTTTAAAAATTGGTTTACAATTTTTAAGAGTACGGCTAGCCTGCTCTTAAGTTGAGCCTCAGAAGTTGTCTTGGTAAGGTTTTTTAGTTATAGTTACTCACAGTATTGACGGTATTTTAGATTTTACAGTTTTAACAGTTTTTAAGTGCATTATTGTTTTTAGACATTTTTGAGGAACATTATGTAACTACACCTTTTGCTGTTCATTACGAGAAAATACGCAATCATTTGCGTGGAACGGCGACCAAAAGTGCGAAGATACATTCATAAGCGCGAAAATACGAACATTTGTGCATAAATCAGATTAGCCGCAATCGTCGACAAACACAAATTGGTGGAGTACAGTGTGGATATTTAAACCTGGTAGCGTAAAAATTC